CTTGTTTATTGGTAATGATCTACTGAAAAAGACCTTTTCATGGGATAGGATGTGGGGGAGCCCAGGGAAAAATGAGTGCCCAGACTTGGCTGAGCAGCCCGTGGTTGGGTTTGCTCAGTGCATACGTGTGGTTTTTTTTGGCTGTGTTCACTTTATGTGGCTGGAAGGGGCCCAGGCCCCAGGGAAAGCACCCAAAAATGTCACAGCCAAGGTTCCAGGAACAGGGATGAAGAAAATTGGGCAATGCCCATCCCCTACGGGATGCTGAGGCCCTGTGCCCTTCATCTCCTACCACACTCTGCCCCATGGGGAAATGCACACAGCTCTGATGGAGAGCGTGGTGATGGTGATGTGGGGCTGGGTGTGATGGAGGCTGCAGGCAAGATTGATGGGCAGATCGAAGAGGCAGAGGAAAGAGAGACAAAGGTTAAGAGTATAAATAGGCTTCAACCCAGAGCGCAAGGGACTGGTGAGGGAGGATTGGTGGGGAATAAAGGGTGCAGGATAAACAGTGCATGGAAGTGATGAGATGAGAGCATTACCAGGAGCATTACACAGAGGATGGGGATAGGGTCCCTGTTGTCCCCAGACATGAAGGACTGGGCACAGGCTTCCTTTGCTGGTGGGAAGAGAAGCAGAGGGTGCAGTGAGACCCTCAGCAGGAATGCTTGTGTAGGCCAAGAGCAGTGACACCCAGCAGGGATGTGCCATGGAACGACACCATTGGCATACCCCAAAACCCTGTGCCAGCATATCCATACGCTGGGAAGAACTGGGTGTGCATACATATGCATACATACGTGCTGCTGTTAGCACTACTATTTGGGTTTTCTGCTGCTTTCAGGGGGCACATATGGGGAGAGAGGCAGAGCACTGTGTGATGGCTTTACAACTTCCCAACCTGCTGAGTCGTGTTCTTGGTGGCTTAAAATAGGCTGTTATTAATGTGTCAGAATGATGGGCTCCCTTTGATTGTCAATTATCCTTTTTTATGATATCTCCAAAAGCACAAAAAAAAAAAAAAAAAAAAAAAAAAATCCAGGTGATTTACTCCCCTTTATGATTAGATTTGGTAATGAGGCTCTGCTTTATAACAGTGCAGATCAGTGTCCAAGAAGCAGAAATCCTGCCAGCAGGCTCCCAGCCTTACCTCAAGACCCATACCCTCCACTGAGCTCACATGGGAGATGTGTGGACACCTCAGCTGGGTCACCAGCACAGTATTGCTGCAGGATGCATCCCCTCCAAAAATGGGGGGGTGTTCTTCCTTTTTCTCTCTATCTTAGGTAATGGACAAGACCTTCAGGATCACCAGGTCCAACCATCAGCATGTCCTACCAAGACCCACCATACTAACCCATGTTCCCATCCAGGGATGGGGACTCCACCACCCGATCCAATGCTTGGCCATCCTCCCCATGAAGAAATTCTTTCTGCTGTCCAACCTAATCCTCCCCTGGCACAACCCCCAGGAGGGATGCCTCTTGGTCACTCCAAATAAGGGAGGCAATGACGAGACAACCAATTTGAAATTGCTAATGAAAAAAAATTAAGAAAACTGGAACTACTTAAAAAGAAAATCTGCCTTGAGAAGCGATATTTGAAGCGTTGCCATTTAGTGGACTCACACGGAGCATGGCAATTAAAAGCTGGCTAAACTTGATTGGCAGGAATTAGAACCCATGCCAAAGCCTGGCACAAGCGTGTGTCTCTCCCACCTGCTTGTCCTTCCTGATCCTTCAGACCTTTACCAGATGCCAAGCAGACAAATGATGCTAAATTAGCTGCGCTCCTTCCCCCTTGTTTCATTTATTTTATTTTTCAAAACCAACAGCTTGGAAATAAATGTCCCCTCAAGGCAGCACAGTCTCCAGGTTGAGTTACTTTCCTTCAATCTTATCAGCATCCCCTTTGCCCCTACAACCCCTATCCTTGGTCCCATCAGCACCTTCATCCTTGGGCTCTCCTGGTACCTCCTTCAGTAGGGTCTGCAATTATTTGTATTTGGGAATTGCATTTGAAAGACGAGATGATGTTTTGGGAGTTGTTTTCTGTTAGGTTTAATTCATTTTTAATCAGCTGACGGTAACGATTTGATACAGACCATCTTCCTGAACTGAAGTTAATCACTGCTGAGCAAGCCTTTCACTTTGCGTTATTTAGAGAGGCATTTTAGAGAAATACTGTTGGAGATTTTATTTAACCATGTATTTGTTTTCATTGTGTACACAGCTCTTTCATGGTCTTCCCGGCATTTAATGCAGAGAGATTTTATTTATTTTTGTCATTTGGAGGGAATTTAGCCCTGCCAAACTGCTTGGGATTGGTGGCCCTGGAGGCTGCAATAATCTGCACAGACCATCTGGGCTGCAGCCCAGGGGACTGGAAAGCCCTGTCCCCATCAGACCAGCTCTAGATCTCTCATTTTTGGAAATAGAAAGGCAGGGAAAGGCACCATAGAATCACAGAATGGGCAGGGTTGGAAGGGACCTCCAGGATCACAAATCTCCAACCCCCTGCCACAGGCAGGGCCACCAACCTCCACATTTAATACCAGCTCAGGCTTTCCAGGGTCCCATCCAACCTGGCCTTGAACACCTCCAGGGATGGATAGGGTATCCACTGGGCAGCTGTTCCAGCACCTCACCACTCTCTTGGTAAAGAGCCATGATTGCACCAAGATGTGCCAGATCCCAGTTTTTGCTCCCAGAGCACTTGGAGGGTTGATTATTAAATGGGGAGGTTGGTGGCCCTGCATATGGCAGGAAGATTGGAGATTCATGATCCTTGAGGCCCCTTCCAACCCTGCCCATTCTGTGATGATGGGTTGGCAGCAAACTCAGAGCAGGAGATGGAAAATGGGGCCATGTGGGCTAAGGCCCTGACTTATGAATTGGACTGGCTAAAGAGTCTCCTGGTAAAGGATTACCTGACCATGTGGCAGTCAGGCAGATCCCCTGGGCAAGCCTGACTGATGCTCGGTGAGAGGCAACCTGAGGCTCCAGATGGAAGCTGAAAGCCAGGAAACTTAGCGTGCCCCATCCATCCAAATCCTTCCCTCTGACTCCCAAATCCCCTTCCACCCTCTATTATATCCACCCTATTAGAATCTAGAAATAGTAGTTGCACCATCTCCCTTTGGTCTGCTTCGACAGAGCTGGAATTAGTCAAACCTCCTCCATGTGTTTATTCCCCTTTTTCACCCTTTGCTCTGAGCCGTGCTCCCTCCCAGCGCCGCCGATCCACTCAGAGCTCTGCATCTGATAAAGAAAGGCAGCATTCCACCCCACACACACACATATACCCCTCCCCCCCCCCTCCCCCCTCAACCGCAGATGCATTATTTATGACTCGCATCGATCGTGGGAAATAACCCCAGGGTATTCCAACCCGATCGAAATCGCGGTTCGCACCGCAGCCTTAATTACCCGCCGGCCCTTCCCAGCGCCCGCGGTCCCAGCGGGGTGGGTCCATCAGCTCCACCGAGCACTGCCCGCACACAGAGTGGGCATCCTCGCATCCCCAGCCCTGCTGCTTTCGCTCCCTGCCGCCTCGCTCTGCTCTCCTCTCAGTGCTCAGGAGCTCTTTAGTACCTTCTTTAGTGTTTCCCTGCCTTGACAGTTCTTATGGGAACAAATGAAGCTACCTCTCCATCTTCCTGATGGACCGAGCAGGTTCAGCTCTCTGCATCTCTCCAGCGAGGCAGTCTCCCCACCCTCTGGTGATTTTGTGACTCTTTGTAACTGCTCTGATTCCATGCACTCCTCTGCTGACAGGCAGAGCAGAGCACTCCAGCTCAGCACTCTCAGAATGGTGCCCTTCCCCTGCACAGCTCCTCCCGTTCCCCCATACAGTCCCATCTTCCCAGATGATGCCCCAAGGATGGAGAAGTCCATCCTAGCACCTTCCCCAGTGCCAGGTTTAGGTGCTCACAGATTTAGCTGGCAATGTTCTGTGCTCCTACACACGGAGTAAGGGCTGTGATGAAGCAAAGAGCTGTGTTATGATGCTTTGGTCACTCTGGATAAGCCACACAGACTTCTTAAGAAACTCTGCTCTACTCTTAACCATTCCCATGAGACTCAGAGAGATACAGCACTGCCAGACCCCAAAAACCACAGGCATGGTGCTGATGCCAAGCAAAAAACACTCCTATCAGGGCTGATGGAAGAGCCTTCCAACATCATTTCTGAGTGAATGGGGTGGTTTAGGGAAGGTGCTGTGGTCACAGGCAAATGGTTTTGGCAGCACCCAAAGTACAGCAGCCATACGGAGAGGAGCACCAACGAGATGCAGTGCTCAGGGCTGCACCACGGGAATTTGGGAAAGTTGGAAGTTTGGGGAAGTCGGTACTTCTGCAAGTGAAACACTTCTTTCCCTACAATAATGGGATTAATGAAGAGATTAAGCTGCGCCTGGAGCTGCTGCCAGCTGTAGGTATGGGAAATCAGAGAGGGTTGGGGATGCTGCTCTGCCTAGGCAGGAGGAGAGGAGCTCTGGTGGCTGGAGCAGAGGCCTTGCACAGCAGGGAGCTGCAATGGGGATGAGCAGGAGGCTAGTGGAAAGGAAATGCCAGTGATTAGGCTACAGCAGATGTGGAAATGCTGGAATTATGATGGAGGATGGGATGAAGATACCCACTCAGGGCCAGTGCTTGTCAGTGTAGTGCTGTAACACCACAGACCTGAGCACCAGCTCCCACCCAGGTACCGATTCCAATCACAGCACTCTAGCAGAAGGGCTGGTAGAGGAAGCAATAACAGCAAAACACAATAAAACTGTAGTGAAAAATAATTAAAAGACAGCTGCCGGCATGGGGATGAGTAGGAATACAGGGAGGGAGGCTGTTACAGTGCTACCTAAGGGAGGCAACGAGGAGCAGTGCTGGTGGTGGTAATGGGGCTGCTGGAGACCACGGGGTGTCTGGATGGAGGCACAGATCTTGGAATTGTAATGGGAATAATTATGACTCTAATGGGGAGGTAATAAAGATAATGGTATCGTAATTGAGGAGGGGATAGCTGGAGAGGAGGAGGCGCAGATAACAGCCTTGTAAAGGAGATGATAAGAAAGATAATGGATGGTAATGGAGTTGTTGTTAAAGGTAATGGAGTTATAATGAGGTGACGACTGCAGCAGGTAGAAGGGATGGTTGGTTTAACGAGGACCATGATGCAGAGATGACTATATTTCTAATTGGCTGTGACAGGCAGTGGTGGAGGTGACCGGGAGGCTAATATCAACTGAAGGGGTCAACCACTAAGACAAACACAGACATGCAAAGAGCACGGCAGAACTGTGGTCCCTGGGGACACAGTGCAGAGGTGATGGGCAGCGGGGATGCTGTGCTGTAGTATGAGGAAAAGGGCAGAAGAGACGGAAAACAAGCCCTGAGCAAACCCTGAGGTTTTCTTCAGGTTTCTGAACCCAAGAGACGGGGATGGAGGGCAGCCCATGGCAGGGATGAAGATGAGGAGCACCTGCAGCGGAGATGACAGTGACTGGGACGAGCCAGTGGCTGCTGGGCAGGGATGGTCCCTGTGGGCTGCACTGTGTGGCAGTGACTGGCTGGGACAGACACATGAGTGAGCTCATCGGCTTGCAGCGATGCTGGCACAACTGCAGGGAATGAGGCAGAGCATCTGATTCACCCACCTCCTCCTGAAGCTCAGCACAAGGTCCCCAGCCCTTCCTTCAGTCACATTAATGGCCATTTTTGAGTTCCAGCAGGTGATTTCTTGTGCAGCCCCACCATGATGCTCCCAGACCACTCCTGCAGGACTTGGAGAAACCCTGCACGCCCCAGAGGTTGGATTAGCTCTGTGAAGGCAGCTCGGGGCATGCCCTGCTGCCATGAGCACACTTGACTCTAAATGCCCTGGAGGATGTTCTCCTCCAGGCTGGTTTGAAGCCTGTCCTAATGAGCTGGATGGGAGGGAGGGCTGAAGCTCAGCCCACACAGGGTTCCTGCACTGCGACTCTTGGCTCTCCTCCATTCAAGAAGCAAAGAGCTTGGGCTCTCCTTAGCTCTCGTTCTCCTTCCCATGCACTTAGAAAGTAGTTTTCCACAGCCATTAAACTGATGGCTTATTGGAGTGTGTTCTGCTTGTATCTGTGCATCTGCTCTCCTCATTGCTGGGTCCCTGTTTTCATTTCCCTTTCTCTGCAACTCCTTTAGGGCCTCATATCCACCAGGTCTCTCAGCCACCTTCCTCTTGTCCCTCTGCATCGAGATGGCTTGTTTAGGTGCTTCTAATGCAGTCGTTTTAGGTAATTGCCAGCTTCCCTGCTCTCTTCATCCCTCAGATTATCTTCCCTAGAGATGTCACCTACCAGTTCCCAGAGATTTTTTGCAGACCATTATCCTCATTCTGCTGTTCTCGCTCCCCTTCTCTTGGCACTGTGCACTCCATTATTTTGTGATTTATTTCCTGAAATTACGGCCTACTTTTTTTTTCCCCCCCCCAAGCAGTTCTTGTTTATTAGCCCAAATCAAAGCCAGAGTAGCAGCTTCTCCAGTAGCTCTTCCCAAATCATTGGAAATGAGATGTTATCCTCATACACCCTAAGAATGGAACAACTCCATGCTGCTGTATCACTTTCCCATGAGGTGTTGGTGGATTTGAAGGTTCCATTACCAACAGGTAATGATAGACCCGGGGTTTGAAAAGTCCCCTTTACCCACCTACCTCCCCATGCTGACTCTCTTGAGGGCTGGTACACATCCAAGTCATCCGCTCCCAATTCCTTGCTAAACTTTAGAAGAAAGTCCCATTCTTTCTTGCCATTTGCTGGTATTTTCTAGGCAGTGCCTCCTCCCTTTATCATCAAGCCAGCATGACTACAATGCTATAACCTTTGTAGTTGTGCTTCTGCTTTTAAGGGGTACAATTTGGTGAGTTGAAAGTGGCATCTGCCTGGGAAAGGGAGAAGCATCCTTTAAGTGCCTCAAGCACCTGTGAAGGAAAGGAAAGAGCTAACAACTAAAGAAAAGTCAAGGTGAAGAGCTAGAAAGAAAAGAACTAAGGAGATTGCCTCTGAGATAACCTAAAGGTTTACTTCCACTTACAGATGTGGCTTTTTTTTTTTTTTTCGCTTTGGTCTTAATCAGCTTCTCAATAGAAAAACTTGAAGTCGAATTAACCCAGCACACCAAAGGACAAAGCAATTGCAGGTCCCCTGGCTGGTTGCCAGATCAAACTCCACTATATACAGTAACAAAAAAACAAAGGGGAAAAAAGTAAAAAAAAGAAAAAGGAACACTGAACTACAACAGGTCTCCCAAAGGGAAAACAGGCAGTGAGGGTGAAGAAAAGGAGGGGAAATTGGAAGAGAAAGTTGGCCTGGCTCCAGGGCTGACTTGCACATAGATCCTTTAATGGCCAACCAGTTGTGGCTGCCCTGGGAAGTTGGTGAAAAACTCCCATTGGTGTCATCACCAGAGGCTCCAATCTTGGTAAATAATGATGAATTGTGAGCAGTGTCACACAGTGAAAATCAAGGAGAGAAATAGTGCCTTAAAGAGGAGTTACAGCAGCCAGCTCTCACCCCTGAGGTGCTGCTTGAATAGAGGAATTAGGATGTCTCATGTTTCCAGTACAGGGCTGGCCAGAATGCTCAGAGCTCCTTGCAGAGAGTTCAGAACATCTGCTTGTCAGTGTGGAACAGAGCTGCTCAATGGAAGGAAACAATAATAATAAAAAAAATGAAGAAGCAAAATGCAGCATCCAAGTTAAGGGCAATTCCATGGGGTGTGGGCTGACCTCTCCTTTCACTTGGGTATCAGCATCTGGGCACAAGCTCAGGAAGTTCTTAGAATTACCAGAGAGAGAATAAGAGAATAAAATAACTGAATGAGATCAACTCCCCAGCATGCAAGATATGTTACTGGTGTTACCTTGGCTGTTGTCAATGCCCACATATCAGCAAACGTGCTTCAGGTTCCTGAGAAACAGTGCCCTGCGGGCAGGAGCATAATCAATCAGTATATGGAGTATAATCAATGAATATGCAGATGCTATAATTAAGAAATATACAAGAAAGTTAGGCTAAACAGATTATCACACTAAAGAAGAATGGATAGAAAACTTACCCCTGTCCTAGGCTTACTGAGAAGACTCCAAGAAGAGTGATCTCCAAAAGAGATCCTTCCCCACCGTAGCCAGCTCTTACATGAGTCTAGGAGAGGTGGAGCCAGGCTTCCACCTGGTACACAGATGAATTGCCCTCACCTGTGCTCCCAGGGCTGACTCATTGCTCTCCTCAGGTGGTCAATCAGAGGTTCAGGCCATAGAGCAGGTCTTGCAAGATGTGTTAGCAATGCAGCTAGCAGCATTGCCCTGCAACTTGTAGGATTTAACAGCTTAGGATACTCCTTCTAAGAGTGGTTTTAACTAGCCAATTACATTTTTTTATGGTAGGGTGGATAACTCTCTCAATTTCATAGCGCGATCCACAGAAAGTCATTTTCTATTAAGCTCTCTATTGCTTTCAAGGGGGCAAAAAAAGCAAAAAAATGCAACCGAAGTTACATTTTCCTAAAGTTTTATGGTGTTTTGTTATTTTTGTTTTTGTTTTTTAACTTCTTAGTGTAAGTCTCGCAGGGATTCATATGTCAGACTCTCCACTTCTGGCATCCATGGTTGTTTGGTTGGGAGTGACTTTGGGGTACGTTGCAGCCCCACAGCTCATCTTGGAGGCTCCAGGTGTGGCTGGGAGCCAGCTTTGGGCTGTACCTCAAGGTTTCAGCCCAGGGTTTGTTAGGTAAAACAGCACAGGGGTTTTCGTGGTTCCAGGCCATGACTGTGGATAAGCAGTGGGGAAAATCAGCTTCCATTCAAAAACTGGGAATCCAAAAATCTCCTACAGGCACAGGCTGCTGCCAGCCCCAGTGCTCCTCTCACCTTTGGGAATGATACTGCCTAAGGCATCCATGATGCTGCTGCCTTCATGCTGATTTGTTGCTGACCTTGTCAACATTAGAAATTGGCTCTTTCAGGCTCAGAGGAGGTGTGCTCAGCCCCTGCAAAGGGCTGAGCATCCCTCGGCTCATGTTGCACATCTATGCACGTGTTTGGTCCTCATTTTGTCATGTCTTTGGGGGATGGAGCTGGTATTCCACGGTGGGAACAAAAAGTTGCTGCTGATGGCCCCGAGATGTCTTCTTCCTTGGCAGAGAGAAGAACAGGAGAGAGCAACGGGCCTGGATGCCAGCCCAGGCAGAGTCAGCATTTGGGTGTGCAGAAGCTCTAACATGACACCATCAGAACTGGGACTTAAAATATAACAAACTAAAGCCATGTTCTCAGCCCCAAGCTGTCCCTGAGCCCCATGGAGGACAAAACCATCCCGTCTCCATCGCAGTGACCAGGAGGTTGCAAATGAATCTTTGGGTCCTATTTTCCTGCAGGTTTTTTGCAGGCTCAGAGGGCTGCCCCCAGCAGCACAGTGCTGCCTGCCAGCCCCTTGGGGGCTTTGGCAACCAGTAGCTTTTTATGGATATTTGAGCTTTGATGGAAGCTGGGGAGCTCCTGGATGCAGCCATCCACCACAGCGTCTCTCCTGCCCTGACCTCTGTCCTGTTTGCTGTGTGTAATAAGACAGGAGAGCAGCAGGCCATATCAGTGAGTAGGTTGGGTTTGCTGAATCTGACCAGCTGTTCTGCTCCCAGCTGGCATCAGGGGCTGTTTGCTCCCACGTTCCTGCAACCAAAAATCCCTGCCTTTCACACCTTTGTGCTCCAGCTCCATGCATACTTTTGGCTCTTCCCACAGTGCTGTAATTGCTGTCCAAGAGATCTCATTGCTCAGGTCAGCAAGCCCTGCACAGAAGATCACAGTGCATCACTTACCACTATTTATCCATCCACTGGAACAAAAGGGGAGGAGGGCAGCAAGAAAGTGTGCTTCAGATGGCTGTGGCTAATTTGGGCTTTGAAATGATAAGACTCACAAATTCAGAGAAACAAGAGGTGCTGAACTAGCCTTCTCTGAGCAGGAAAGGGCAACTGCACATATGTGCGTGTGGGTGCTGGGTACTGAGGGAGAGGAGGGAACTGAGCCAGCAAGGCATATGGCACATCACTGCCACACAACCAAAGTATAACCTTAAAATTGATTTTAAGTGCAGGCTTGTAAACAGTCCAACCCAGCTCTCATGGTGCTAGGGGGAGAATTTCAGTGAGCAGTATCAAGCTGGATCCCACAAAACCTGACAGACCGGCAGGCGTGCTTCCAAGCTCCCATGCCCTGCACCAGCTCCAAGCTCAGCAAAATTACATTATGCGTTTATATCCACTCCTTAACGAGGTACTTGCTTATTATAGGGCAATAAAAACCCAGCCTGGCTTGGGTCCTCAGTGCCAGCCCACACTGAGGCACCGCTGTTTCCCAAGCATCTTGGTTTTCCCTGCAGGGCAAAGCACTGGGATTGTTTCTTGTTCCTTCAGGGGGATGTAGATAGGTGGGTTTCCCACTCTCTCTTGAGGCAGTGTCAGGAAAGAAACAGGGAGCCCATGTGGGTATACAGCAGGGAATGGGGGCCTGCTTGAGGCCAAAGAATAGGAGAGCAGCCCTGGATCTGGGGCAGCCACGAGCATCCCAGTGCAAAGCCAGGGCTGCCACCTCCTCTCTGTACACATGCATGCAGCTCATCTGAGGCAGAAAAAAAATAAATAAAACAGATTAACCTATCTGACAGTACAGCCAGGATGTGTCAAAACCAGCCTGGCTGGCTGGCTCGGAAAAAAAAGTGGTTATTACTGCAAACTCTATATACATTATTTATCAAATGAAGTCTCTGCAGCAGGTCCACGATTCATTTCCCTGCTCCGGTTGTCTTCTCAATGGTAGAAACCAGCCCGAGCCCTGCAGTAGGTCTGGGGGTGAGCATCTCACCGCCCTTCTAAAACACTGGGCTCTGCAGAGGGGATGCATTGTGCCCAAGCAGTGCCTTCTGGACATGCATCCGGCTTCTGGATGCACATGTGGATGTGTTGCACACATTAATTTGCATCGTTACCAGGCAGGGGCAGCGGTTGGCAGTGCTTTGGAGGAGCTGGGATGGGAGCATCCCAGGCTGGGTAATTCGCATCCACTGCAGCTATGCACACAGCTCTGAGGAGGAGCAGGACGGCTCACGCACTAATGAAACATGACAGCAAGCAGCAGATACACGAGCACGAGGCTTTGCTGCCTTTCCTGGAGCTGTGTGCTGAGAGCAAACAGGGAAAAATAAAACCCATGCACGTGGCTGAGAGGGACCCAAAGCCAGTGCTGTTCAGGTGGGGTGAATTCGCTAGAGATCTGGGCCCTTGGGATGGATTTTCTCCTTGCTGGAAGATGCCCACGTGATCCTGCACCTTACATCCATGAGTCCTGTGCAAGGATGGACAAAGGGAGGAATGCCAGGAACAGGAATGGGAAAAGCCACGATTGATGGAGAGGGAAAGAGCAGGATAGAAACTGCTCGTTTAAGTGATGCTTCACCAGGTCCCCACAGCCCACACCCAGCTCCTGCTATGCAGGTGCTAAACGTAGCCGTAATTAGAAAGCAATCTCACAGTCATTTGCACCTGAAGTCCATTTAGGATGGGCAAAAAAGCAGAGTACTGAAGGAAAAGCAGAACTGGGTTAGCATGGGTATGGGAACAGCTAAAAGCCTGTTGGCATGGTTGGACCTAGCAGCAGTTTACAACATATCCCTGTGGGACACAGCCCCATCCAACAGCCCCTACCATGCAGGTCCTCCATCACCCTCCAAAATTAGTGACCAGTGCCCATGCTGAAGATAAAAATAACCTCATATTTATTTTTGCTCTTTAACTACAGTTTTCTTATAGATTAAGTGCTACTATGTAATTAGAGAGGATTTAGAGGCTGTTTGTGCCCCACGATGCTCTGCAATTATGGTTAATTCCTCCTTTATGGCTTCAGAGCATCACCAGCACAGTTCTAGGGCCGGAAGAGCTGCATGCGGAGGTGAGAGGTAGAGCTGGTGGCTGTGACACTACAGATGGGATTGCCAGAACCTCTTTCTTCATAAACTTGGGCATTTCTGGGGGAAAAGGGTCTGCAGAGCAGAGAGCAGAGCACTGCATACAGCACTGCAAGTCACCATGTCAAGCATCACCTGAGGATGCTGTGGGGTCACACAGGTCAGATTCAGGCTCCATCTGTCCACGTATCAAGGAAAAGAGCTCATCTTGAAACTTTGCTCTCAAACTTTCCCATGGGAACATATAGAGGCTACTGATATATGCCGCAAAAATTCAATAAAGAAGCGTGTAATGAAAGAAAGATATAATGTAGGCTGCGATCACAAAGGCATACATGAATTATTAAGCCTGCCGAATTTACAGGCAGCTTGGGGAACTATAGATTTCTTTCTCCATGTATAGTTAGGGAACTGCTGTTTAAAGCAGAAGAGTATTTCATCCTTAACCACACAATTAGTCAGTGGGGGAAAAGCACTCGCTCTACAGGTACCCATGTCACAAGAGCCAACGGGTCCTGGAGGCACCTGACATGTTCAACCTGTTTTTGCACAGGGATGCTGTTGGGTTTTTTAAGCCTGAAATCATCTCCAGCAAGATGCTCCCCAAAACCAAGTGGTTTTGCAGCTGTGCCGTACCCACATCCATCGCATGGTTTGGGCTTGTCAAGGCCATATTTACAGGCAATAAACAAAGGGCTGCAGATGCTGCTCAGGGCCACAGACATCTATAATTCAGGTGGATGCACTGCAGGATGTATCTTGGCTTTTCGCTTCCTCCCTTTGCAGGCCCCCAGGACACAAATCCTGGGTGAAGGGAGGACATCTGGGAGGTAGAGCGCTTTGCCGCTTCTGGAAACAGCACTCCAGTGTTTTTCTCAGTTTCAGATTGTCTCTTTTTATTGAGCCCCATGCACATAAACAGCAGCAGATTGATCATCTCACATATCCCCAAAGTTGAAGCACTTGATGCCTGCCAAACTTGAATTTGAACTTTAATTCACATTGGGCAGGCCCCAGATTCGCCCACAAACCTGTTGTTAATGCAGCCTCTTGGTAGCTTTCAGAAAAAAAGCTCCTTGGTAGCTTTCAGAAATACCTGTAACCCCAAAATGCATCCATGGTCCTGTTTATAATACTAAAAGAAAACAAAGAGAGAGATCCCTTAGCACTGTGCCATGGGGAAGCAACCCCGCTGCCGTATCTCCACTGCCCAAAGTCACTCTGTGGGGTGGACAGAGTGGTGATGCTACCATTCATCATCCAAGAAATGAGGACTGGGCAGTAACCCATAGGCACCTGCTCTGATGGAGATCTGGGGGAGGACTTTATTTCATTCCTACCACCTAAGCTGCTCTGTGATGATGTTGCTTTGAAGCTCTGGCCCAGCTCCATGCTGCTGGCTTGCAGCCACAATTCCTTCCCCACTGAACACGCACAAAAAATAAAAGCAGGGAGAGAGGCCAAGGAGTTCACGCTGAGCCTTGCATGCCAGTGAGTCAATCAAAGGCAGGAAGTGCTAATTAGTCCCCCTGCCTCCCCCTACGCCTGGCCTATCTGTCAGCTGGGGACAAGAAGAGTCAGCCAGGGCCATGAAGGAGCTGCGGAGGAGCCTGGGGTAGACGAAGACCTGGGGCTGCTGGGAGGCACTGCATGCAGCCCCACTGAGCCAGGCTGGGTCATGGGTTGTTGGTTAATTCCATATATCATCTCTACCACAGTTAGTTACCTCAAGATACCTTTCTCCATGGTGGTCCATTTACCTGAGTTAATTATCAGGTCTTCCTTGAAGGGATATATTTCCCTCATGGCTGACGAGTGCCATCACCATAGGGTGAAAGGCTGTGTCCTTTTTCCAATTGCTTTGTCAATGCCACTTTCCATAGAAAGAGGTCCCAGCTGCTTGGCTTCACTGCCCACTAAGACCAGACTACTGGTTCTACAGTCCCAGCACTGGAGCATCCAGGTGGCAGCATAGTCAACATTAGGAGTCAGATGGTTTCTGTCTCTTCCTCATCTTCCACCCTTCGTGATGGCCAGCAAGCCAAGTGGATCCTCCATCATCCTCCATATTTGGTATGGAGGATGATGGCTGAAATATAAATATGGAAAGAACTGGCAGGTGGATTGTATCACACACCCGCAAACTCACCATGTGCTTATAATGGTGGAAGCAACCACTACTGGCTGCAAACATATCCCATACCACATGCCACCCCCCATCTGAAAGGTGCAGAGGTCACTCCACCTTGGAGAAATTTCATATATTTGCTTTGCTTGAAATCACAAAGAAAGAGAGAGAGAAAGCCTAGCAAAGCTCCATGTGCCTGCTCAGAAGAGAGGTAGGCATTGAGCACAGAGCCAGGAAGAAATGTGCAGGAGGAACACTGCAGTAATATGGGATAATAACCCTGCAAAGACTGAGAGGCGGCTGAATAGCTGTATTTCCTGTAGTACCGTGGTATTGTAAGAGAAAACCAGTAAACAAATATTTTCACTGAGAAGCTGGGAAAGAGGGAGAGGCATGATTGTCCCTCAAAGAAGAGCATTAGAACAGGGGGATAGCAGTGAGAGAGGGGAGCTGCTCAAGATTATGGCCCTTGCAGACAGCAGTAGAGTCAGATCACAGCCAAGCAGCACACCACTGTTCTCTCCCATCTCCAAAAACCCAAGCTTCATGACCTGAAGGAGACTGACCCTGCACGAGGACACTGGCTGTCTTGTCCCAATGGGACCAGATTTTGTCCATCCCTCTCCCAGGGCAAAAGGCACTCCTAGGAAAAAAAAAGATACTGTGAAAGTCCCTTTGGCTAACCCCATCCATACTGGGTCTCTCCAAAAGATGAGAGCAATGCAATTGCAGTCCCAGTCTCACCTGCTCACTAGCTCTATCCTGGGATGGGTCGGGCAGTGATTCCTCATGGCAAACCTGTTGATGTCCATCACTGGTCAGCAGACAGTAGTCCCAGCAAAAGTAATGGGACCGAACCCATCCCCAGAACAAGTGAGCTGACACTGGTGGTTTTTGGCTGCAGATAATCGTGTCCTTGGAGCCCAGATTGGTACCTGGGGGCTTGCAATTGATATAGAAGTGAGAAGTTATTTATTTTCAAATCAAGGCAACTTTAACCTGTAATCCAGAGCATGGGTAGGAGGTGAAGCCACTTCATCACAAGGGATTTGTCTGCGCAGACCTAAAGGAGCTCAAGCCTGTGTGCTGTAATTTAACGGTGTTTTGAGTTGAGGCTGCTGTTCCTATAGCTACTAGAGGAAGCTTAGCAACCTCAGGCTCAGCTCCTGGAGCACCATTTGTGCTCGTGGAGGGGTCCAGAGAAAAGTAGGGATGTGGCATTTTCATCCATGCATTGTCACCACCCACACATTGCTGGCACCCACGATTTAACCTCTTATGCCCTATGGTCTGTGCTGATGTTGCACTGATTGCAGTAGCCATATGGGGTATTTCTGCTGGAAACAGAAGCACGTGGGGCTTTGTTAGTACCAAATCAACTGTTACCTTCAAAAATACTATAGGAATAAGAACCTGCTTCTGTCATGCTTTGAGGGCTGGAGCCATAACGCTGGGAATGCATACTCTGGAGAAGGCCCATCTTCTTCTCCCAGCCCTGGGCCCATCTTGGAGATGCTTTGGGCTCTACCAAGGTCAGTGGGACTGCATGTGTGTCAAGCTGGCCCACATCTCTCTGGACAACTCACCTCTCCGACCTTAGTGCAGTGTCAAGTCTAACACTAATCACGCTCTCTTTCCTCTCCCCATAGGTCCTCCTCACGCTTGGCCAACCAAGGTTGGCTTAGAAGGCTCACCTCCCTCCTAAGAAAATGGGGACTGACAGTGAAAACCCAGTCCTGAGAAACGTGCTCATCAGCTTCAACTTGTTGCTGCTGGGTGCTGTCCTGAAGCCATTCGAGTGCCGGCTGGAGGTGACAACAGAGCCAGCCGAGAGGCCAGCAGTAGATGAGGAGGGGGGCCTGGCCAACTGCAGTCCACCCATCAAAGAGCAGCCCATGGTCTTCCACCACATTTACAACATCAACGTCCCCGTGGACAGCTGCTGCTCCTCCATGCTCAGGTCTTCGGCTGAGGAGCTGAGTTCAGAAGACGACAGGCTGGCGGAGTACACAGAGCAGACCTCCGACAGCGAGAGCCAGGTCACCTTCACCCACAGGATAAATTTGCCCAAGCAAGCCTGTAAGTGCTCCACCTCCCTCCCGTCCCTGCAGGAGCTGCTGAGCAGGATTGAGATGCTGGAGAGGGAGGTCTCCATGCTCCGGGACCAATGCAACTCCAATTGCTGCCAAGAAAATGCAGCCACAGGTAGTAATGCGATGCTGTTAGCTCTTGTTGGGGACACAGGGCTCAAGCAAAAGGCAGGAGAAATAAATACAGAGCTAGTAATGTCACTCACAGTAATGATGAAGGAAAATCTCTGTTCAGCCATGGTGTTGTAGCTGTGGCATTACAGAAAAGTCCAGCTTAGGGCCTCCAAGTCAGGGAATTCCCTGGGAGGGATTCGGTAACTTCAGCTCCCAAAGCCCACTTGTTGTGGAAACCCCATAAATGTATCCATCAGACAGAGCTAAAATCCCATTAAAATAAAATTGTGGCTGATAAGGGGATGAGCAGGGTGAGCTTCCCAACCTGTTCCCTCCCAGCTCCTTGGGCCCTTTGCTGAGAATGGCCTTGGCTCTGAACAGCACTGCTTAGCAGCAACTGTAAGCATCAGTGTGTTATCAGCATTCACCCAGAAACAAAAAACAGCATCATACCAGGCACTCTGAAGAAAACAGTTCGTGTCAGTTGAAACTAAGACAATGGTGAAGCTCTCAGAGCCTCCATCAGGGTTTCTCCAGTAAAGGCACAGCTCAGTCCCTCTGTGATAGTGAGATAACATGATAACAACATGGGTTGTGAAAGGTTTGGTTTAGAGGCTGCTGAGCAGAGGTGCTAGCACACAGCTGGTCTCTGATCTCTCAGGTAGCCCCTGAAGGGTGCTGTCTGGAAGGGCACCTCGTGGCTCCAGGCTTTGCTCAGTCCTGCTGGGATGCCCCCAGTGTGGTACCAATCAGCTGTGAGCATAAAAGAGACTGGAAAACACCATTGAAAGACAAGACTGTTTGCACAGTTAAAATGGAATGGGAAGAGCAATGGGAAAAACCTGATTTTAAGGAATTCATTTGAAACACTGATGGAACAATTTGGGTTATTTGCAACATATGTAGCTGGTCCCATTAAACATTTATCAGTAGTTGGAGTCTTCACTCAAACCACAGATGCATGATGAGGTAGAACTGGAATAATTTCATTCATTTTAACCAAGCTGCTTTCAGTTCACCACACTTAAAATGAGAGCAGGATCCCGACCCCACAGCCTGAGGCACTTCCCCAAGGAAACAGCTTCTTACAGCACACCTACAAGCATCCTCTCTCTTCATTTGATAACTTAACTAGAGGATGAGATCTGAAGAGAACCTGATCGCCATTCCCAATGCTTGCAGTTTCTGGGGGAAGCATCCTGCAAAGAAGCCCAAACCGATCTGTCTGGCTTAGCATACAGCTAAGCCTTGCTGCGGGGGTATCTATCAGTTGTCACCCAGATAACTCACCTAGGATGAGAGGTTCACTAGGGGGGGACAAAATGTCTCGTGACTCACGGTCTTTCTGGTGCAGAGGCTTCCTAAGGGTTGGAGGAAGAACTGAAAGGGTTCCACTCCTCCTTTCTTTCATGTGAGAAAGAGCAGGCAAAGTCAGAAAGGGAAGAATTAGCCAGGCTGGTGTAAACCCGAAGCTGAAGCAGCAGGTCCATGTTGTGAGGCAAAATATGGGAGGATGAGCAGTGTCAGAGCAACTGGTGCCCTCACTCCCACGTGTCCCTCCTCACCCTACTGCTGAGCAAAACAGGGACATCAGAGGAGTTGGCCACGTGTTCTCCCTGCTTTCCCACATCCCTAACTCATGTGCAAACCAATCTGGAATCACCAGGATAGGGATAAATATTATATGTCTTTGATCGTAATACTCAGACATAATATTGGGATCTCTCAACTTTACGATGAATCTATGTGTGGAGAGGAGACAGCAGAGCCCACTGAGCTGTGGTTGGTACAGAGGGGTTGGCCACGGAGGGCTTTTTGCCATGTAGCTGTCTAGGGAACTACAGAGAAACTGAGGGGAGCTCTGGAACCCAGCAGGTCCACAGCCAGGAGTTGAGACTAGAGCTCCCACCCCAAGCCCCAGCATGACCCATACCAAACCTGAGCCTCACCCATCCCCCAACTCCTGCAAGACAGGAGAGCTCAGCCATAGGGAGGACCACCCTGCCACTTGCCCTCCATTCACAGACCCCACACCAGGCTCTGACCACCCATCCCACATCATTTTGCAGGACGCCTGGATTACACCTTACCGTGCAGCGGTCACGGGAACTTCAGCCTTGAGTCGTGCCGCTGCGTCTGCAGCGAGGGCTGGGCGGGCAGCAACTGCTCAGAGCCACGCTGCCCAAGGGGCTGCTCCAGCCGTGGGGTGTGCCTGGAGGGTCAGTGTGTGTGTGACAACGACTACGGCGGTGAGGATTGCTCCCAGCTCCGCTGCCCCGCCGGCTGCGGCTCCCGTGGGCTCTGCGTGGATGGAGAATGCATCTGCGAGGAGGGCTTCGGTGGGGATGACTGCTCTCAGCCCCGCTGCCCCCGCGATTGCTCGGGAAGGGGACACTGTGACAACGGCACCTGTGTGTGCGCCGAGGGCTATGCTGGGGAGGACTGCGGGTGGCTGCGGTGTCCCAACGCCTGCAGTGGACGAGGTGTCTGCCAGGATGGCCTCTGCGTCTGTGAGGATGGCTACGGAGGGCAGGACTGCTCGGCAGGTAGCAGGGGTGTGTGGGGGGAGTCAGACCTGATTGTGTGAGAAAGGGACACAAAGTTCCCAGAGTCCCACAGGAGCATCACACAGCATGGGAGGAACCCATAGCTGGCAGAGCACTTTGTGCTCATATCCCATAGTTTGACTGCCTGCCTGTTGTTCCCATCTGCCAGAGATGCATAAAAGTTTGGGAGGCAAGCAAAAAGCCATTGAGTTTCGTCCAAATATTGGTGGTGATCTACTTTTACAATAGTAGTACAAGCAAGTTCTCCTGAGCCTTTGCCTTGCAATAAAACTTGTGAGCACATGACCCCCAAGCAAGAGCCCTTACCCATGTCCAACCAGCAGACCCACACTCCCTCACCCGTGGCCGGAGGATAAGTCATGCACGTCCTGATGCTCTCCCTCTCTTTCCCCATCAGTGGCTCCTCCTGAAAACCTGCGTGTGACAGGGATCAGCGATGGCTCCATTGAGCTGGCATGGGACAGCCCCGGGGCAGCCACTGAGTACGTGGTATCATACCAGGCAGCGGGGCCAGGGGGATCCCAGCTCCAGCAGCGGGTGCCTGGGGACTGGAGCACCATCACCATCACGGAGCTGGAGCCAGGCGTCGCCTACAACATCAGTATCTACGCAGTCATCAGCGATGTCTTGAGCAGCCCTGTCACCACCAAGGTGACAACCAGTAAGTATCTGCCTGCACTTGTCCCTTGGTACCCCAAAAACCAGAGGTGATGCTCATCAGACAGCTGCAGAAGACAGCACTGGCCCATATAACGAGGAATACCACAAGCAGCCTGTAAAGGTGCATCCATCTGATATTTGACCTATCCTATGATGGCATTCTTGGCACAATGCACAGTCTTGCCATGGTGTCATGCAGCTTTCTCAAGCTAGCTCATGTTTTCTGTAAAGACCTTCCAGCAGCAGAAAATTGAGCTTTCAGAAAAAAATAGTGGAAATATGTTTACCCACATGTATATCCACATGGGGATAAAGGAAAGGTGGAAATGACACCACTTGCTGCAAGAAGTCTCTGGGATGGAAACCCAAATCACTGACAATCAAGGAAAATTTCAGTGCTTGCTTGAAGCCCCAAGACGCGGCCCAAAATATCTTATATTTTTGTGATATACCATACAAGTCACAGGTTCTGCTCCTTTTTCTGGATGGGCTCCCCAAGGCAAATCCCCACAACATAGCTAATAGCACAGCAAGAGGGGATGTTGCTGTGCATCATGAGGTTCTTAGTGCCAGAGGAAAAAGGGAACAGCAGGCTGTGACAGCAGCTTCCAAAAAGCATCCTTGGGAAATTAAAGGCTGAGTAAGCAGGGGAAAAACAAGTGATGCCAGTGCCGCTTTTGTAACCCCATTGCTCACCCTGTTGGCACTGTTACTGGGCACAAAGCAGTGGGATGCCACAGTGGAGGGCATCCCCCTCCTCCCCCTCCAGCCCAAAAGAACAATGATGCTGCTAACAGAGACCACCAGGGCCCCATTTCCATCACCCCAATAACAAAATAGTTGCAAGGAGGTCAACCCAGCCCTCACAACCTCCTGGTCCCTTCTAGACTTGGCCACTCCGCAGGGGCTGAAGTTCAAGACCATCACAGAGACGACCGTGGAGGTGCAGTGGGAACCCTTCTCCTTCCCTTTTGATGGCTGGGAAATCAGCTTCATCCCCAAGGTAATGCTACTTCACAGCACGACATCGTGGGGTACACCCTAAGCCTAGATCTCAATGACCAGCCGTAGGCTGTCAGGGCTCCAGTATCCCCAGTCACGTGCCCAGATAGCTCCTGCCATGGCATTTTAATTGCAGTGAAGAACAGGTAGAACTGGTGCCAGAAAAGATGAAAATGATGAAAGTGTTGCCCTAAATATCGCCTATTTTCCATACGCAGTAACAAAAATTGTACATCAAGTATTTCATCTATATTCATAATTTCTACACCATTTAACCATAAGTATAGCTTCAATTGTATATGGAGCCTCTTTACAAGAGGCTTTCAATCCCCAGCAGTAAAAGAAATGCTGATTAAGGCACAATTATGCTGTTTTCCCTTGTACAAAATCCTCGCTGGAGTCAGGCAGCTCTGGGCAGTAGGAACAGCAGAAGTTGGCCCCAAAGTTTTAACAGCTCTCAATTGCAAAGTGTCATGAGACACTGCACAAAACAGGGGCCCAGGGGCCTGAGATAACTTACTCCTCGCTTCCAAAAAGGGCTGGGAGCATCTTGGTGCAATTTTTGATCCACAGATGGTATCAGAAGCCAAAGTTTGGGTACCGCTGTTACAAAACCAAGGGTGTCGGGATGGAATACAAAAACGTTGTATTTCAGGATGAAATAGAGTAATAGAATCACAGAACGGCTTAGATTGGAAGGGACTTTAGAGACGATGTAGTTCCAACCCCATGCCACAAAATAGGGCAATGCCAGGAAAAGACCACCGGAGCTTTGAGTCTAATGGCAAACAAATCATGCATCATTCAAGCATTTCATCGATACTCATGAATTAATCTCAGCAACATCTGCCCTGAAGCAGACAAATTGGTATAGGCGTGTTTTGGGGTGAGGAGTTCGTGGGATGTTTGCAAATGTCTCTCCTACAAGGACATCAGCAATAGGTTTTCCTCAAGCCAGACCACTGAAGCAAGCTGCTGGCTCCCATTTCTCTTATTTAAGCTTAAAACCAGCAAGAAACATGCAGGGAATAAAACAGAGAGATAAAGTACAAAAGGAAAGCTGTTCCTTGGGCAGCCTTTTCAGGGATGGGAATGGATGCAGCTCATAGGGCTTTCATTTTAGTACCGTCCATCAAGCATGAGGCCTTGCATTGTGAAGATGCAGTTGTTCTCCTGCTGCCAAAATTGGGTTTTCTCAAGTCTACATTATCAGCTTTTCCCCTGAAACAAGACAGAGGGTGCTGTCTCCTTGGCTGCCTGGAAGCTGCGGCCATGGTTTGCTCAGACAGAGACACAAAACCATTGCTGCACCCCAACTTAAAGCAAAACCCAAGAGACAGTGATGTGAAAAAAAATACATATATATATATATATATATGTATATATATATATATATATATATATAATGTTAAAGAAGCTCTATTGCAAATAACCCCTGTGCTGTAGGCTTGCAAATCGAGGTCAAACTGCCTTTCCAAAAGCTGGGTGTGGGGACACTAATTTTGTCCTCAGTGTCCCCTGGGGGAGTGCACGCCCTCCCTCTGTGCAAGCCACCCTCCACACCCTAAATTATCCCTAGATACAGGATTGGGGGAGTTATTGCACATCTGCTCATGCTGGGGGGCAAAAAAAAAGGAGAAAGCAATGCAGGGGTATTTGGGGCAATGAGAGAGGCTCAGAGAGGCAATTAGTGAAAGACTGGAGTGATAACAGACATAGAAAAGAAAATTAGCCAAGGTGAGATGGCAATTTATGGATAAAATGGAAGGTTTCCTGTCTAATGAGGAAAAGAGATGAATATGGATTGAGAGCTATGTGCACAGATTTGTTTAGTGTGTTATTAGTAAAGACAGCAGCAAGAAAAGATCCATTGTCCAAACACTGGCAGGGAAGGTGACATTTGCAGTTGCTTAAAAGACTTATGTGTTTTTCAGGGCACAAAACAGAAAGTATAATGAATTCAATCAAGATATTTTAAAAAGGGGGGAATCCAAAATAAATACGCGATGGTTTCACCTCTGCATGAAACATAGACAGCTCCCGGCACCTGGGTAGCAGCCATGCAGGAAAAGGAGGCTTTGGTTTTACTTTTATGTTCTGGAGAATATTCAGATGGCAAAACACAGCAAGGTATGAGGCAGGAGAGGGGACGGGGGCATTTCCCAGCTCTACAGCTCAGGTGCTCCACAGCTGGTGGGTGACTTTGCCCCAGGCTCCTGCATCTCCGTGATGAGATGTACTGGGATGAAGACGTGATCTGGGGGTGCATGGCTGGGTCATCACTTTGCCATGCATCAGTGCCTGTACTCCCTGAGAATAAAGCTTTTTCTGTTGTTTTTAAACCCCTTCCTCCTTCCTGTTGCCTTTTCTCCCCCCGCCCCCGGCAGAACAACGAGGGTGGTGTGATTGCCCAGCTCCCCAGCACCGTCACCACCTTCAACCAGACTGGGCTGAAGCCAGGCGAGGAGTACACTGTCACTGTGGTGGCTCTGAAGGACCAAGCCAGGAGCCCCCCGGCCTCTGACAGCATCTCCACCCGTGAGTGAGCCCGGCACCGGGCAGTGCATCCCAAGAACCTCAGCACCCCATAGCAAAATCAGCTCCAAACACAACATCTGCTGGGGCCAGAAAGCTGCCCGAGCCAGGAGCTGGGGCATCAGATACACAGAAGTGGTTTTCTTCAACCAGTGTTCTGAATCTGAATGCTTAGCACAACCCAAATGCTACAGGTGCATTGCAGCAATAGGTTTTCATGCAACACTTTGTCCTTCTCCTCCCCAAACTGCTGTGAGCACAGAAAGCATGGTGTGTTTAATGGGGTTGGGAGTCACGGCTCTGGTCAGCTTGCACAGTGTAGCTGCATGAATTCCTCTTCTCCATTAATCTCACCCCAGGCACATTTGGGAGGCTGGATGTGCCCAAGAAACAACTCTAAAAGTGCACTGCCTACTCATCTCCTCCATATTAAAGCTCCTACATGCTTTTGTGCAGCCAAACACCCTGTCCTCCCACCCATTCAGGCAAATCAGGCAGCGGGGCAGAGAGCCAGAAGCAGCTCTACGAAATTCAGCATGTGTGGAAGAACGTAGTCCCTTCCTCGCCAAGAGGATGTGGCGCTGGGCAGAGCATGGGGAGATGCTAATCTGTGGCTTTGGAGAGGAAGGGGTGGTGCAGGGATGGTCCCTCCATCAGACAGCCCCTCTCTGGCAGCACATCTGAGCTTCCTCAGTACAGTCCTGCTCCGCTTGACACGGCTTAACAGAGACATCTCCTGGTCAAGGCAAACCTTTCCCTTTTTCTAGGAAGTCACGGGGAAAAAAAAAGAAAAAAGAAAAAAAAAAAAGAGGCTGGTACATCAAATTAAGTGATTGACTTTAGCAAGGGAGCACAGCAGCGCTGTGCTCTCCACCACCAACATGAGATGCACGGTTTGGATGAGCCTTGGCCAAGCTGGACACTCAGCTCCAACCTAAAAACCCTGCTTCCCAGCCATCCTTCCTCCTCTGTTGCTGTTTTGTCCCCAGACTTCATCCCACTACTCCCAATTCCCCCACACATCTATTCTAAGCTCCTTCATCCCTTCCCCACTCCTGCATATAGCCCCCAGGATTTCCCACCCTGAGGCACAGCATTCAGCACATCCTTATTACACCACAATGTTTCCAATGTATGTAGTCTAAAGGACATATGCAGCACAGCTCAAACTACAAGATTAATGTGTTTTTTTCACCACTTTTTGGTCACAGAAGAGACAAAGCAGGCAGCCAGTGCATCAGCAGTGCCATGGCACAGTAGCCTCAGTCCATGCCAACGGTCCTGCAGGACTCAAAGCATCCCTCACTTGGGCTGAGCATGTGATTGACCAAGCGCTGGAGAATGCAGAGGAAGAATGAGTGCAATTCTCTGCAAAATAGAGCAAAAATGTCCTAAGCAGCCTCTCAGGAGATGCTTGATATGAATGCTTTAGCTAAAACCTCTTTGTCTGAGGGTGTTTGGTGGTGGACACCCTCCATAGCCCTGCTCCCAGCTAGTTAAGAAGCCTCGTCAGAGCAGTTGCATTTTCCCCTCCCTCCCCAGTGCTAACACGTCAGCAGCTCCAAGAGCTGATCCTGCAGCTTAGCTACAAAGCAGGAGCTGGCACCAATGCTGGAACGTGTCTAGAGACTTTCTCCAGCTCTTGATGGTTGAATCAGTCCTTGGCCCTGTGTTATTTAACGCATTGTCAACACCTTTCAAGAGCCATAATAGACAAAGTATCATTGCTGATAAATTTTGCCAATGATAGAAAGGCTTGTAAAAGAGTAAATTGAGTGGAAAGAAGGAGATCATCGATAAAAGCATTTTGAATGGCTCGAAGAGCTAGGCACAAAGGAAAACTGCATTTTTCTATGCATCACCAAGTATGAGCAGTTATCTAGGAGCAACGAAAACAGACCGGAGAGAAATGTAGGAGGTTTTATTCTGGGAGTTGACTTCTGAATAAGACAGAGAGGAATTGTCAACACTCAGCTTGAGAAGGGCAGAAGTTTCATTCTATCTGTTACTGGCATGTATCTGTAATGTTCTGCTCAAGAGAGATGTCAGGAAAGTGGAGGGTCTGGAACAAGGCACTGGAACTCACCATGACCAAGCCCTGTGAGCGCTTTAGGTTGGAAGAGTTGAGCCTTGTGCCCATGCCACCTCTAACTCATGCCGCTCCAAAGGCCGAGTGGCAGCTTGATGTCCCCATACCTGCTGCCCTTCCCCATCCAACTCTCCCCCATTAACCACCCCTCCTTTCCCCCACACTCTGCAGTCATCGACGGCCCGACGCAGATCCTGGTGCGGGACATCTCCGACACGGTGGCCTTTGTGGAGTGGACTCCGCCTCGCGCCCGGGTGGACGCCATCCTGCTGAAGTACGGGCTGGCGGACGGGGAGGGCGGGAGGACCACCTTCCGCCTGCAGCCCCCCCTCAGCCAGTACTCCCTGCAGGCCCTGCGGCCCGGCGCCCGCTACCACCTCGCTGTCAGCGCCCTCCGGGGTGCCAACGAGAGCCAGCCGGCCCTCACTCAGTTCACCACAGGTAGCTGGAGGAGCCGGCGAGGGGGCTGAATGCTGCAGAGTGGTGTGGTGGGTGGGTGGGAAAGACCTTCAGGAAAGACCAGGTCCAGCCATCAACCTGACCTACTGAGCGCCCTACACTAACGTGTTCCTTATCACCGTATCCACATGTCTCTCGAGTATCTCCAGGGATGGAGACTCCCCCATTGACCTGGGAAGCCTGTTCTAATCCTTGCCTACCCTCCCCGTGAAGAAATTGTTCCTAATGCCCAGCCTAAACCTTCCCTGGTGCAACTTGATGCCATTTCTTCCTGTCCTATCAATTATCACCCAAGAAAAGAGATGAACACCCACTTCACTGCGATCATCGTAGCATTGTAGAATGGCAGAATGGCTTGGGTTGGAAGGGACTGCAAAGATCATCTAGTTCTAGGGCTGCCAACCACTGAATTAGGCATCAGATCAGTTACCCAGGGCTCCATTCAACCAATCTCTTGTCAGGTTGTTGTAGAGGGTGATAGGATCTCCCTTCATCCTCCTCTTCTCTAGGTTAAACAATTCCACCCCCAAAACAGCAGTTTTCACCCTTAATGCCACCCACAGACCAGTGTGCATCAGGGAGGTCTGATTTCAAGACAGTGCTCCCATACTTGCACAGCACTGAGAGCTGAGGCAGGCACAGTGCCTGAAAAATCAGCAATCAGGCAGCTGGAAGAAGCCCAGTTAAAAACATGGATATCTTATTTTATATCTTATATGAATAGTCTAACAGGTCAGTAAAATTTTAATTAATGTTAAGCCTGCAGAGAGCTAACAGGTTTAATTTACCGTGCCATAAAGGAGTAGGTAGAGAGCGTATATCAGTGCTGTTTTATGGTATATAAATTAGTTGCCATGTACATCACTGGGGAATACTAGGCTCCTTTTACAATAACCACAGCGTGTGAATTGTGTATATATATCTATGCAGATATATATGTAAGAATGAGATGTCCATTGCAATTGATTTGCTGAGTTGGCCTTCTTTGCTCTATTTCCAAAAGACAGCATAAAAATCCCTCCTAAGCCCAGACCCAGAGCAGGAATTAATGCCTACCTCCTGTGCAGTCAGATCCTGCCCTGCTCAAACTCATCCCTCGCAGGCAGCTATGGTACATATCCGAGCAGGTCTGGCATGCAGCCTCCGCAGCACAAATAAAACATTTGATCAGTCTGGACAGTGTCTGAGCATGAATAAATCTGCAGAGATGCTTGAGGTCTTCTAGAAGAAGTTCAGGCCAGTGCTGGATGGCTTTAGAGCACTGGTCTTGATGAGTCTGTGAGTGGCACCTCCAGGTCTGTTCTGAGCAGGGGGCGAGAGATGTCCCAGCCATGGGGATGTGCCACCTGTGACCCCTCCCCACTTCTCAGCCATGCCACAGCTCCCAGAGCCCATTGGCAAGAACACAGAATCATAGAATCATTAAGGCTGGAAAGGACCTCTGAGATCTAGTTCAACCATAGAGAGACCATGCCTTTCTTCCTTGTGTTGGACAGAGATCGATGCACCCAAGAACCTACGGGTGGGCTCACGGACCCCCGCCAGCCTCGAGCTCACCTGGGACAACAGCGAGGCAGAGGCACACAGCTATAGGGTGGTCTACAGCACTCTGGCTGGAGAGCATTACCACGAGGTTCTGGTGCCACGGGACACTGGCCCCACCACCCGGGCCACTCTTGCAGGTATGCCTGCGTTACCTTCATCATCATCTTCATCATCTTCATCTTTACCCTCACTCATCCCCATTCTCCTTGCAAGTCCAAATCAGCTTGCCCTAGTGCTCCTTCTGTGAGTCTGGGTGATACTCTGCTGGGAGCCAAGTGATGTCCTTTGGTGGGGCTGCCCCAAGGGTCCAAAGAAGAGCTAGCAACGGCTGGAGTGAGAACTGGGGAGAGGAAGACACTTCAGGTTGATCTAGAGAAAAACACTACTTCTCTTTTTACTTTTTTCCCCCTTGTTGGGACACTGATGCTCCATAGGCTGGCCTACCCAAGTTCTTTGTCTTTTTCCTCATCAGCACAAAGTAAACCCAAAACCAGGGATGGCAATTCCAAACAAGTCCCTCCAGCATTTTGTGGTCCAGGCTGGCACATGGGTGCCACCATGCTCTGCAAGCACCATCACATCCCTCTGTCAGCCTTACCAGGAATGTCCCCAAACACACTTTGTATTAGCACCATGGAGAGCCATCCAAGATCTATTTTCCTTTTTCAGCTGCAGCTGGTTGCCTGCCAGATCTGCAGCTCAGGTGGCATTTTGGGGGCAAAAAAAAGCCCCAACACTTATATACCAAAAAAATATCATTTTTTGAGCTTGGGACTTATCTAGATCTTCAGTATGGCACGGCACCAGGTTCTCCTGTATTGTGTCAGGCTCAGACAACTGCCATATGGACCTTTAGGAACAAACGTGTGCAGTGGAAAAGTATAATGCAAAGTTACAGGCACAGCGGCACTGAGTCATGAGAAAGGCTGGAGGGCAGGAAAACATTTAGAGCAGTTAGCTTGAAAAATGTGGTGTGTAAGAAAGAATGTAGTAGGGACAGTTTCTGCTGCACTCATGAGTGGAGAAGTGGGACGGAGATGGATGAGGACAATGGGAGATAGGGGTTCTGGTGCTGGTCCTCTGTCCTCTAGGATATTTGCTGCCTTTTGGGATGATATGGAGGGGACAGATGAGAGGACAGCCTTTGCTGATGGCAAGCAGCTGCAAACAGCCTCTCTCTATCTTTGTCACAAACACCTTAGCCTTCTCCTCCAGAGCTTCATCACCCATGGTGTGGAGTGTTGGGGCAAATTTCCAGCTGCTGAGGACTTAGTGGGGTTCATGGCATAAAAGCCTTCATCTGCCCCTAAGAAAAGTGTTGAGGAAAGGTGCTGAACAGAGCTTATTGAATATTTAATCTTAAAATTACAGCAAATCTTGCCCCGCCCCAGAGGTCTCTTTTCAAAGATGAGAATTTGCAAAGCTGTCAGAAATATTGGTGATTTTTCCCTATCCAAGAGATGGGAGAGAAGAGGCTGGGCTGCAAGGCTTATGGCTTTCTCTGACCTGATGGGAAAGATCAACAGAGCATGAGGAGGAGAGAAATGAAGCTGTCAAAGGCCAAGCAGGAGTGAAGACCCAGGAGATGTTCCATGGAGATAGAGCAGCCACCAGTAATAGGCACAGACAAAATGAGCTCGATTAGCTCATTTCCCATTCCCCAGGTGAGAGGAACCACAGGACACGTCCTCCTCAAGGAACGTGCTTGAGTCGGCTCCCAGCTAGGCTGTATGCTTACAAATTAATGTCCATTTCATTTACTCTGCGTAATTTATTTCTTTTTGCGACACCAACCCTGTGACAATATTTGAAGCTGAATCATTTTGGAAACAAACACAGCTACTTTATCATTCCCATCTCATTTTGCTCCCTCTCGCTCACACACAATTTCTGTCTTGATGCCAGCAATTACAGCAGACCTCAGTAACTCCTTTTAAAAACTGGTTATTTCTGAGCTAGACTAATCCCACTTCCCTGTCCAAAGACATTTGGGGGCTTTTTCAAAAGGCTTTCTACAGCACCCAGTGGAGTGGCTGAGCTGTGGGAAGGTTGGTGATTCTAGAAGCACTCAGGAGTGCCCCTTTACCTCCAGCCGTGGTGGGGGTCACTCTCCACGACCACCAAGTTGGATGCTGTTCTCATGCACCTCTCTGTGCTTTACTCAATCTTGCAGATCTGGTGCCAGGGACAGAATATGGCATTGGGATTTCAGCTGTGATGGACAGCCAGCAGAGCGTGCCAGCGACCATGAATGCTAGGACAGGTGAGTCTAACCCCACCGCTTTTGGCCTCCAAACACAGCCAGATCCTATGGCCCTCCAGCTCCTACAACCTCCATGGCACAAACCGTGCATGGGAACAAATATCTGTAATATTCAACTCACAGAGCTTGATAGCCCCCGGGACCTCATGGTAACAGCTTCCACGGAGACGTCCATCTCACTGTCCTGGACCAAAGCCATGGGTCCCATTGACCACTACCGTGTCACCTTTACCCCTGCCTCGGGGATGGCCTCTGAGGTGACAGTGTCCCGTGATGAGTCGCAGCTCACCCTCTCTGAGCTGGAGCCAGGGACAGAGTATACCATCTCCATCATCGCTGAGAGGGGACGTCAGCAGAGCCTAGAGGCCACCGTGGATGCTTTCACAGGTAAAGAAAACCAACTGGAGATGGGACCAAGCACAGGGCACTACCCCATTACCAATTCCCCAGCACCAAAACTCATGAGACGGGGATGGGGATGAGAGCTTGGGGGCAATCCATCCACATCAGAGCAGGTCCATGGACCTGAGAAAGGTGATGGCCCTACCAGTGCGGGGGTCCTGCCCTTCTGGATAATGGCACTGAACATGTTTGCTTGGATGATTTCCATAAGGAGGAGGTAGGGAAGCCTCTGTAGGAAAACATGTGGTCCTCTGTGCTTTGAGTTGGCAGAAAGGAGAATCCAGGCCTTGAGGGGCCTGAGAAGTATCTCTGGGATGAAAAAAAACATGGTTGAGAAGCACAGACAGCTCATCCAAATTGTATCAGATTGTCCCCTCCATGAGGCTGGGATTGAACATGTTTGTAGTCAGAACTGAGGAAAACACCACTTCCCCTTTCCTATTCTGCCTCTTGATCCCAGCAGAGATTCAGACCACTGGAGCACCCACATGTGGGGCTTTGCAACCTCCCTTATATCCTCTATGGGCACCAGTGCACAATGCTGGGTATGAGCAAGAGGTTGGGAGCTGCAGACTGTGGGGGGCTGCATCTCCCCTCTATGGCTTTCAGGGGTCCGGCCCATCACGCAGCTGCACTTCTCCCAGCTGACATCCTCAAGTGTGAACATCACGTGGAGCGATCCGTCCCCCCCTGCAGACCGCCTGGTCCTCACCTACAGCCCCCGGGATGAGGAGGCAGCACAGCAGCTGGCACTTGATGGCACCCGCAGGCATGCCAGCCTCACGGGTCTGCGGCCATCCACCGAGTACCTTGTGTCCCTAGTGGCTGTCCATGGTGCAGTCAGCTCTGAGCCTGTCACAGGCTCCATCACGACAGGTACTGGGTGTGAGACCCCACCAAGAAGGTGGGTGGAGGGAGGGGGTGTGGACCTGCCTCCCACAGCTGTGCTTTCTGCTTCATCTCACCAGGGATGGATGCACCAAAGGACCTCAGAGTGGGCAACATCACTCAGGACTCCATGGTCATCTATTGGAGCCCTCCTGTTGCTCCCTTTGATCACTACAGAATATCCTACCGTGCTGCTGAAGGTAAGGGGTCAGACATTGTGCAGAGTCCCTCCCTGCTATGCTGTACCCCAGGGTGTGTGTGGGGCTGGTCCTAAGTTAAGCAAAGGACTTCAACAGTTTCCCAACAGCTTCAGGCCATTTCGCTCTTACTTTTCTTTTGGAAAATGTGGTGAAAGAGCAGGTGCTGGGGTTGGGGAGCAGGGCCAGAGGTCAATCCCACACCACTGTGTGACCCAAACCACAACCAGCCCAGAAAGCCTTGCTCTCCTCTTGCACCCTCCTCTCCAACCCTTGAGCCTAGTTTTTGCCTATCATGCTGGAAAGGCCGAGTCAGTAAGAATGATGGGCACATGAGTGTCAACACGTGGGCACAGAACACATTTGTTCCCAGCGTCAGCCCTGGGTTGTGGTATTGCCATCTCCTCCTGGGCAAACTCCGCACCTCGGGTCAGGGCCAGGCATGTCACCAAAGCTCTTGGCTCTGTCCTTGCAGGGAGGACAGACAGCACAGCCATCGGCAGCGATGCCACCGAGTACACCATCCGCCTTCTGCAGCCTGCCACCAAGTACGAGATTGGAGTGAAGAGTGTGCGGGGCCGGGAGGAGAGCGAGGTGGCCTCCATCACCACATACACAGGTGGGAAAGGGCTCCCAGTGGCAGGCAGTGATCAACTGGGCCACGTCCTGTCCTGGGAAAGGGCTGGCAGTCCATACTATTCCTGGCAATCAGACAGCCAAGAGCAAGCTGAACTTAATGGCATCCTGAGGTGAGCTTGAGATGATGAGTGAGACTCACGAGGATACACTGGGGACTTTCAAAGTATGTCTAAGAAAAGCTTTTCCCGTATATGCGTGGCTTGTCATGGAGGGAGTGACAAATCTGTGTACCAGTCACAGGGAGGGCAGAGATGTGATGCTGGGCAACCATAACAACCTTTCCTAAAGGAAGTACAGGCTTCCAAAAATAATCCCCAGGGAAATATGTGTCAAAGCCCTGAAACAAACATCATCTGTTGCAAGAATAAAACCCTCTGCTATCCCCAGACTTCTCAAAACCTAAAAAACCTTAGCTCCCCAGACTGTGTATCAGGCAAACAGTGGAAGGCAAACCCAGATAGTGGAGCAGTACAAGCTACAACATGCCACTCTCCAACGAGGGCAGTAAAATTTCATTTGTAAGTAAACGTGTGCCTGGAAAGAGAGGCAGGGCCACAGGCTAGCCCATAGTCCCTTAATGCATCTGACCCTCCAAATCTGTCCCCTGTGCAGCCATGGATGCCCCGCTGGGTGTCACCGCCACCAACATCACCCCCACCGAGGCACTGCTGCAGTGGAACCCGCCGCTCATGGATGTGGAGAGCTATGTCCTCGTCCTCACCCGCCACACAGGTGTGCTGAAACCCCACACCCCTCCACTGCAAGATTTGCTAGAGCTCCATCTCAGCTCACCTCCACCTCTCCCCCACCCCAAACCTGGGATCTTGGTGGTTTCTTCCATGGAGGGAGCAGTAAAGGAGCCTGTGCCTTGGGAGGGCAGTAGCTGGTGGGTGGTGGAGATGCACCCCATCCTTAGGCCCCATGTCTCATCCCATGGGCCCCATGGCATGTACCACTACCCAGCCTCGTAGCACTACCCTAACTCATCTTTTGGCTTACAGTTGCAGGAGAAACAATTCTGGTGGATGGAATCAACCAGGAATACCAGCTGACCAACCTTCAGCCCAGCACCACCTACACGGTTGCCATGTATGCCACCAATGGGCCCCTCACCAGCCAGACCATCAGCACCAACTTCACAACCCGTACGTACAGTCCCGCTCCTACACACCCCTAACCAGCCATCCACCCCAGGAAAAGACAGAAAGGCTGATGCTAAGCTCTTGTTCCAAACATATCAATGTAGATGTGGCCATTTGCTAAAAGGACACCCAAATACCAATGCTAGGCACAACATGAGGACAGGTTTACCACTACTGCATGCATTAACCATCATTATCACTCTTCCAACAACCAATGACATCTTTCTCTGACTCCCCTTGGATTCGATTTCCTGAGAAGATCCTTGACCAGGTCTTCTTTCCTGGAGCCATAGTCTGGCTCTGGAAGGGGCCACCAAATTGGGTTGTGGAGTCTCCTTCTCTGGAGATACTCAAACCTTCCTGGACACTTTCCTGGGTGACCTACTGTAGGGAACCTGCTTTAGCATGGGGTTGGACTAGATGACCTCCAGTGGTCCCTTCAAACCTCATGATTCTGTGATTCCAAGGAGTGTGATAGACTCCATACCACATGCATTCCAGAGAGCATGCATTGAATGGCACTTAGAGGGCTTGCATAGCTCTGTTTAAGGCTGGGGACAGGTAATCAGAGCTGGAAACTGGGGATGAGGATGGACTTTGGGCTGCAGCACAAGACTGTGGAGTTGGATACTAGTCCAGCTAGTCAGGGAGCAGCTTAGAGAAGGTGGGATGGTTGTGTGTGAGGACATGGCCTTCCCTTGTGCCTATCCAACCTGCAGTTTTGGATCCTCCAACAAACCTGACTGCAAGCGAGGTCACCCGACGGAGTGCACTGCTCTCCTGGGTGCCTCCCGTGGGAGACATCGAGAACTACGTCCTGACCTACAGATCAACTGATGGAAGTCGCAAGGTGAGTCCTCATGGGAAAAGAGGCTCATTGAGTCCAGGGATAACTCAACCATGGAGGAACGAGCAGGAGAAACCCATAAAACCAATAGAATGATACTCATTAGGCCAGGGAGACAACAAGGGCATATTACACTCTCCAGTAAGCTTACCTTAGACAATCAATTGGGAAAAGCAGAAAAGGATTGCCTAGGGCAAAATCTGCAAGTTTGGGCAAAGAGGGTATGCCTGGGGAAGTCCGAGGGAACAGACAAAATTCACAACTTGTGAAACACAAGCAAGTTGAGGCAGGAGAAAAATTTCCAGCAAGTAGAGTTGTTAGAAAGGTGATTTGCCCTCCCTGCAAAGAGGAAGGTAGGTACAGACAGCTAATAAATCCCTCAGTACAATATATTTGATTATTTAACGAGTGTATCCATATCTGTCTGTCTGGAGGAAATGCTACAAACACTATCAGAAGTGTGTCACTGCAAATCATCTCATTTCCTGGTGCAGGTAGCTTGCAGCAGCCGGAGGATAACAACTTTGCAGAGGTGTTCAATATAATGCTCTGTGGCATTGGCTGATGACCAGAAAAATTAACATGACAGGGATTGATGGAGCCAAAGCTGGCTGATAATCAGGCTTGGCCAGACCTGCTCCTTGCAATGCTCAGGAAATCTGTCATGCCCCACTCTGAATGTGTGCAGAGCCTAGCAGTGTCAGTAAATAGAGCACACAGACTGCATTTAAGCCTCCGGTGTCCAAAGCAGTGAGCTCTCAACTGCACCATCCCAAAGCTGGACCTCACGCTGACTTAGCCCAGAACTGTAAGCAGCCATGCAGCACCCTCAGCCAAGAGCTGCAGTAGTTGTGGCTTCCCTTCCCTCCTCACTTGCTCTTTAGGCTCCCATTGTTTTTCTCATCTGTTGTCTACCCTCTTGGTGTCTACCCACGTACAGGAGCTGATTGTGGATGCTGAGGACACGTGGATCCGCCTGGAGGGTCTTTCTGAGACCACTGAGTACACAGTGCGCCTGCAGGCTGCCCAAAACGCCATGCGGAGCAGCTTCATCTCCACCACCTTCACCACAGGTGAGGACCCACGCCTGGTAGGCCAGGCGAAGATGATGCTCATGTCCCTGAAAAGAAATTCCCTCCATAGTCACTGCCAATTCAATGCACAGAGTTTTCTTTGAGTTTGCTGTGGATACACTTCCCCATCCTGGTTAAATGCAAAAGTCCCTTCACCTGCTTTCAAGAGATAACAGAAACTATTTACACCAATGGAAAAAGGCTTTTTTTTTTTTAAATAGATGAGGTACTCTAGTTTTTCTCATCTCTTATGTGGATGCATTATGTCAGTGCAATTCCAGCAGGTGATGGAAAAATGTGTGTAATCTTCAAGGCTGCTCAGGAGTCAGGGACAAAGCATCTCATAGCTGGCTTCTCAGAGAGGAGAATGCAGGGAAAACCAACTCACACCAGGCAATGAGAGCATCACTTCAATTAAACAAAAATGTGGCTCCTTGACTGCATTAAACACCAGTGCCAGCTGATACAGCATCTCAACAGAAGTTTAACTCGCTTCAAGGTAGGCATTAGCAAGAAACATTTCTCTAACCTACCCCACCTAAAGGAGAAAGAAAAGGAAGAAAAAAAAAAAAAAAAGTCTTAATTTAAAATGTTTTGCTTCTTTATGCTCTCAGTACACATCCCAGGGTTCTTCCGTTCCCTCTGACATATTAATAGCTCCATCTCTTTGTTTCATGTTTGCATAACGTTCTTAGGGAGTTGTATACAGATGGGACAAAAGGAAGAAACAGATACGGTATTTATAATTTATAGTGGTTTGAAATGTCTTTCAAGGTCTGCTTGGTTCTTTAAGATATGAATATGAATTAAGAAACAACTAATCTGCACAGAGCCCAGGGGAGCCTGGAGTGGATGCCTTTGAAGTAATTTACATTGTTGAATGCTATAAAATGTGAACACTGTCTCACCAGAACTGGTGCTATGCTCTGCAGGGAGAGGAAGAAGTAGGGGATCTTCAATATTTGTAAAAAGTGACAACTTGACAATTTTGGGTCTTCAGGTCAAAAGGAAACAATGGGAGAACTCTCTGTCCTGCCACTCCTATGGGGCTGTGCAGTAGGGATAGATGAACACGGCATGTCCTTCACACTCTCTCAAGGTCTTCATTCAAGCCACTCTTGAAAGCCAATGTGCGCCTTGCCTGCTTTGCACTCAGTCATTTGAGCAATGGGGGGAAAAAATGCAATTCTCTCTTCCACTAAATGAGAAAGAACATGAACCCCGTCCTGCCGAGATCCCACAATTAGGGCTCTCTACAACTCCAGCCTCCAAATGAGGTGTCTTCATTGTAGGACGTTATGGAGCATGGCCACAGGCCTCACCCTGCTCATCTCCAACATTTCCTATGACCCAATTCCTGCTCCATTTGCTCAACCATCAGCCCACTGCAAGTCTGACGTCATTCACAAGGATACGGATCAGAAGAACTCCCCTGGAAACAGTAAAGTCATAAAACCTACTTAGAGTTGGCAATCCTAAGAGGAGAACAGTTTTTGGCATTTTCATAGCTGTCCAAATATGCCAGTGACAGCTTAAACCCCAGCGTTTCAGAAATGGAAGACGACCAAAGGTGTGACATTCCTCATCACTCACCACAATGTTACCACGCATCTTTCCAATGTAGGATGTGTGGAAATCCATTAATGTGTGCACAGATTTACTCTATTGCATTCTATGATGCTGTCAACGGATGCACAGTCACCTCTGCCTTGCAGAACTCAGGACATACAAACAAAGCTAGATCCTTGCTGGACTGTAACCATCAAGGCACGAGGTACAGTGAAAAGTTGTTTGCCTGCCCAAATTTTGATATATTTTTTTTTCTTTTGTAGGTGGCCGTGTCTTTGCCAACCCTCAGGACTGTGCCCAGCACTTGATGAACGGAGACACGCTGAGCGGTGTCTACACCATCTCCATCAACGGGGACCTCAGCCAGCGGGTGCAGGTGTTCTGTGACATGAGCACGGACGGCGGGGGCTGGATTGTGAGTTGCTGTGGCACCCCCTGGCCCCAACAAAGCTCCCGGAGCAGCCCTATAGAATTGAGGCCCTCTCCAAGGGGGACAGCAATGCCCTGAGCCACACAACTCCCTGCCCAGCTTACCCAATGGCAGTCTTCTTGCACGTTGTCCCCATCACTAAGGAACCCCATCCCATCCTGCCAGCAAAACCAAGCTCCATGCCAGCTTAATATTGCTCGCTTCATTTCCCACACCACAGGGAATGGCCCACACTCCAGTAATAATAGTTACGCTTGGCGAAATGGCCTTTGATTTATTTGACGTGTTTGCAGTGCTTTTGCAGAGAAAAAATCTGCAAGTAAATTTGAAGCTGATTTATTGTTCTAGAAATGAAATTAATGTCTACTAGCTTTCATAGGAAATGATTCACATTGCCTGCAATAGGAGGGTGTCAGGCATCGTCCAGATTGAATCCACACTGGAGCATTTTAGAGGCAGATCCCTGTTTTGCTATTGAATTGCACCATCACCACTTGTCTTTACTTAGATGTACTGGCCACTGAGGGAAACAATACTTTGGCACTTGGATTGTTTTTGTCTCAAATACTCACTGCATGTATTATATAAAACTCCAATAGATGTATAGCCCAAACAAGAAGGGGAAAAAAAAAAAAAAAAAAAGGTTTTCTCTAAATGCTGAGTTCTAGAGGAGCTATATTTTCAGCCAAGAATTTTTCCTCCATCCTACTCTGCTTCAAAGCATCCCATTGGGTATCACAAAAGAGCTGAGCAAACACAGAATCATGTGCTAGAAAACCGGAGAAACCACACACTGGGTACAGCATGAAGTCTGAAGGCTGAATCTTTCCTCCTAGGTCTATTGTAACATTGCTACCCACATCTTTTAACTTGTATTCAGCTGATCCATCCACACCTGAACAAATGGCACGGCTGCAATTAACGTTAACCAGATGGTCATTGCCATTTTCTCCACTGAAAGGCACTATGACAGGGCAGAGTATCCTCCTGGCTGTGCGTTCTAAAGCCACTTCTCACAGAGCTTCCCTTGATTTCCCCCACTGCAGGTCTTCCAAAGGCGGCAGAATGGGCTGACTGACTTCTTCCGAAAATGGGCAGATTACCGGGTCGGCTTTGGGAACTTGGAGGATGAGTTTTGGCTGGGTAAGACCTTCGTCATTGGTCTTACACCGAAGTGTCAAACCTGAGCTCCTCTCCTCTGCAATCTCTCCAGGCTGTTTTCCTTTCCTTGTTCATTCCCTGCCCTTTGCATTTGAAATTCACACTTCTGGGTGATACAAAAGCATGCTGTGGAGGTCCCAACTTTGCTGCTCCCAGGCTAGGGACATTCATGGACCAGCATCTTCTCTTGGATGACTAAAAGCGTTGGTGAATAATACAGTTAACAGCACAACTTCTTAAGGACCTCTACCAGCCTTAGCCAGCAAGCCAGTTGCCCAAATCAGGAAAGAGGTGACGGTAGACCTATCAAAGCTCTGAAATAGAGCATTCTCCAAGTGTGAACCAATGCTAGCCCTGCAGTATGTTCTGACTCATAAACAGCTTAACTGAATGATGGGTGTGCAACATGGGAAGAACCAGAGCTCCACAGATTATCACTCCCTGCTTTGGCGACGCTCAGAACGTGGGACTGGGACTCAAACTCACCTCTCAGAGCCATGGGGAGGTGAAGCTTGAGTGGAAACAGAGAGCTTAGACCTCATCAGTGTCAGCAGAGATAAGGCTTAACCACAAGCTGCCCTCTACTGCCTTGTCTTGCTTTCATTACCCAGAAACACTTTACTTGCCCAGAGCTTTCTGGTTGGCTGACACAGCAGATCCAGGTGCTGTATCTCACCAGGTGTCTTGTTGCTTGTGTCCCCAGGCTTGGACAACATCCACAAGATCACATCGCAGGGACGCTACGAGCTGCGCATAGACATGAGGGATGGCCAGGAAGCAGCATATGCTTACTATGACAAATTCTCCATCGGTGACTCCCGGAGCCTCTACAAGCTCCGGATAGGAGACTACAATGGCACTTCTGGTACAGTTTCAGGGCTAGCTGGTATCTCGGGTGCAGTAGAGAAATGCTGGGACCGGTCAGTCTGAAGTTGTAAAGGAAATCTCAGTATCAAAGCTTGCATTTCTGGAGTGGCAAGATGCAAGCCTGTAGCCCTTTCTGTCTTCCTGCAGTTCACTGTGCAAAGCAGGCTGGTAAATTTCACTAGGGACCGAGAGCATTTTCCATCAGGGATAATAAATATCAGAGTCGTTGCTGTTCAGATAATCAGGTCAACCACCAGAGGTGTCATCTCAGTGAACAGCACCACAGCTCGCTATTGATGCTGTGCTGCAGGGTGTGTTTATCACTCTCCTACAGCAATGGAAAAATCTGAAATCCTCTGCAGAACTTTGTCCCGTACAGAACCAAAGGTAGCCACTTTCGTAAGGACACAGGCACACCTGTTGGTTCAGCTGACACAGCAGCATTGAGCTTTGCCCCCTGTGTAAGGAAGGAAGGAGAACATGGGGGTCTCTACCCCAAGAAGGGGATAGGGGTACAGCTACAGCCCCTCTAGCTGGGGTAGAAGTGTCCAGTGACTGCAAGCTTCCATGAACACCCTTGTGTGTTTCAATACTAATTAAAGCATCCAATGCACAGTTTGGGAAGAAAAGCAGTCTTAGACTGTATAGTTTTCTGCCTTATTCCTCTTATCCAGAGGGAGAAAAGAAGGGCAAACATTTTGGTTGGAGAAAAACATGCTTGGTTTCCTCTAGAATGGGAAGGTCCCTTTGGTTAGCAAAAGGGAAGGAGGGAGCGAAATTCCTGAAGGTATGCAGCAGATCTAGGCTCCAAGAAATAAGGGCTTTAGCTCACTTCTGAAGCACTGAAATTCAGATACAATGACAGACTGCTACTTTATCTTCCAAACCCTAAGATTTCCTATGGTCTGTACTGACCCAAAACCAACAGCAGAGGACCTCAGATTAATCCACCATGAGCAATCCCAATTAACACTATTCCCACACCATCCCACCACAGCTCTTTGAGCTGTTGACTGACAGGCTACCACACACACCAGAATTTCCTCATGAAAGACCAGATGGCGTTGAGGCACACAAGCCAGAAGCAGGCTTTTTGGTCCATCCCCCTTAACAGCATCTCTTTCCACAGGGGACTCCCTCACCTACCACCAGGGCCGTCCCTTCTCCACCAAGGACAGGGACAACGACGTGGCCGTGACCAACTGTGCCATGTCCTACAAGGGGGCTTGGTGGTATAAGAACTGCCACCGGACCAACCTCAACGGCAAGTACGGAGAGTCCAGGCACAGTCAGGTAAGGGCAGAGCTGGGCTGAGACCCTTCAGCATTTCTTCAGGCTTGGGCTGCACGGATGAGGCACTGGGGTCGCTTACATTGGCTGCCTTGGTCATTTGCCATGGCATTATTTTAGGTCACACTACAGAATATATCCATCAGATCTCATTTGGAGCCTTTGGGCAGTGGGAAAAAAATGAAAAACAAGCAAGCCAGTGCAGCAGAAGAGTTTCTTGCTCTTCCTGTAGCAGGGTTTTCCTCTGGTTTCTCTATGCAACCAAGCTCGTTTCCTTCCTCTCACGCTTTCATTTTGTGTGTGTGTATGCCTTTCTTTACCCCAAATCCTAAGCTTTTACCCTTTACTTCTTCCTCCTTCCAGGGAATTAACTGGTACCATTGGAAAGGCCATGAGTTCTCCATCCCCTTTGTGGAAATGAAGATGCGACCTTACAACCACCGTAACATCTCTGGGAGGAAGCGACGGTCCCTACAGCTCTGAGCCAGCAGAACTCCCTTCCCACCACCTGACCTTTTCTGTCATTTGTTTGTATTTTATAATATGAAAAGGGGAAAAACAAAAATACTTCTCCTCTGAGATAGCAACCTACCCCTCACAAGTCTTGGAGGGAACCACAGCACAAGCAAAGGCTGTGGAGAAAGAAAGACCTCATTGCTTTGCATCTGTCCCAGAGAAATACCAAATTTCCAGTCTCCCTAACCCCATACTCTGGCCCTTAACATGAAAAGAAAGAGAAAGAGACAGAGAGATTTTTTGATATTTTTGTTAAAAGACCTAGAAATCCCCAGCAAACCCTGTCCGACACTTTTGTCACAGGGCTGGTGGCAGAAGCCTTCCCAGAAGGGGACCTTAGTGCCATCATTTCTACCCCAAGGCACAGCCAGGGACACCTGGCCTCCTCCCCATCCCTGTCTTTTCTCAGCAGGGAGGCCCTGAGTCCCTATAGACACCATCCTTCAATAAGCAAGATGTCACACTTCAAGCCCATGGCAATGTGTTTGGGTTACTGAGCTTGAGAGAAAAAGAGAAGAGAAGATGATAGACTGAGTTAAAAAAAAGATCAATTCTTTCAGTCTTGAAGTCATCATTAGGGTCCGTTTCTTCTGCTACTTCTTTATGCCACCATGATGTCATTCACAGCGGTCGCTGGTCCCAAACCAAAGAGCCACAGTGAAGGACCAGCAACCAAAAAAGCCATCACAGAGCCAGAGCTCAGCCTGAAGCCAGCAGTTGTGTCATGCCATGTTCAGGGACCCGCATGCAGCAGGGGATGATGACAGCACAGCCAAGGGAAGACAAGTGCATGCTGAGAAAGGCTTGTTGCTTTCTCTCTATCCCTCCATGCTTCCATCATAAGAGGGACCCAAATCTCAGTGCCTTGGTATCACCATCTTTCTCATGGGAAATCAACTACTTCCCTCCTCAAAAGAAGGCTTGGCCCATTTAGATTTTGGAGCACCTGGAGACCCTTGAAAGAACAGACGCATTCACTCTTCCCATTCTTAATTTCTCTTACCTTACGGAAAACGGACACCTCAGGTAGACTTTGTTGTGCTCTGCTGCCATTGCTGCCACCTGCACAGAGCCCCAGTGGCCATCACCATGGACCCATCACTCCACAGAGGCTCTGCTCAATGCAGTGCTTTGTCACCCATGTGTCCCAGGACAATGCAGCCCATCACTGGATGCACAGCTGAGGCAGAATTACAAAGGCTAAACATTGCTTTTTGATTTTATCACACTGAAGCTGCTTTGTCTCAGGAAACATCTTCCAGATGGCAACATAAAGGCATCTTTACAGTAGCTTATAATTCAGGCCAGTGTCTCTTTCATGGTCATGCTCCTTGATTTGCTGACGTTACTCATCACCCTGCGGAGCTGAAGGAGGGCATTAAGCAGGAATCCAGCCCCTTTGTCCATGCTGGGCACACAACCTCAGCTGGCCCCGAGGTCAGGATTAGACATGGGTTCCTGCCCCAAGGTGGGCAGCTCACAGCCTGCTGTCACAAATCAGATTTTAATCAGTACTCACCAAGTACTGCTTGGTGCTGAGTCCAGCAGCTGGGGCACAAGCCAGGCAGGAGGCTGCACGTGCTGAGATCTCTGCAGCGTCACTGATGGCAATATCTCAGTCCACCTGAGCAGCCTGCCCCATTAAAGATCCCAAAAAGCAGCAGACAGGACTGATTAAAACTGAAGAGGCCTCCTGCTAGACCAACACAGTAACATTTTCCCCATAACCAAGAGTTTACAGGTAAGAAGTACCCTAAATAAAGTGCCATAGTACAGCAGTTACAGCTAGAAACAGAGGTTAGTGGTGGATGGTGTTCATCTCCTGATCAGGACTGAGCTGTTTGCTTTTCCACCCAGGTGTAACAAAGAGATGGCAGTGAAAAAAAAAATGGTAACTCAACACTGGCTATCAAGGGGAAGGCAAGAAAATTGTTTTCATAAGCACAAAACAAACAGAAAATCAAAACCTGCCTTGCTTTTCCAGGAGGCTCAAAAGAAGATCCTCAAAGAGGCTGGTTATTCTCACAGTAGATGTCCTGATATGCGTCCCTCCCTCTCTGCTCATATCCATCATCCTGTGGTCCTGCAGCTGGGACAGGAGGGTCTGGCCAACACAGCTCTGCCGCCAAGTCTGAAGGACACCCCTGGAGACAATATTCAATCTTCCAGTGAAACAAAACAAGTTCTTTCAGGAAAACAAAAGGGTTGTTACAAGCCAGAAAACCTGGCTTCTTCCCAATTCTCCTTTCAATGTCACCAGCTCTGCTTCCTTCCACCACCATCCTGATGGGTCAGGGCCCCTTTGCCCTGCTGCTGTCACATCCCAAAGCACCAGCAGCGTGTCAGCCCTTCACCCTGCAGAAGACCACATGCTCCAGCACCTCCACAGCCTTCCAAAGCCACCTCTTGTTTCTGAACCCTAAACACCAGAAGGAAACACCAAGGGACCCTCTCACCTCTTTCCCAGTGCGGTTATCCCTCTGTTTCTGTTCCCACCTGATGTCCACCTTTCCACCACATGCTGCTTTACTGCATGACCAAAGACAAGAAGGCCTGAAAGGAAGAGCTGCATTCAGTGAAGTGACACTTAGGGCAGCATTTATGGAGGAATAATGGAGTGGGGGCTTCCCCAAAGATAGCTGGGTTTTGGCAGGAGGATGCTTCAAGAGCATCAGAGCCTTCACCTCTGCTCCTCCTCTTTGCACTGCTTTACTGTGGGCATCACAAAGCGCAGTACAAGTCTAAATGCGCTCTCAGCTCCTTCCCAAAGCAATATTCACACCATGTGAGGCAGAGGTTCAGGCAGCTTGCAGAAGAGCAGCAGGAGCCCCAGCACCCACCCAGCATCTCATCTCCACACCAGCCGGGTTCCCTTTTCCAGACCCCAGCACATCACACCCTGGAGTGACCACACACCTCCAAGCAGCACCCAGTAGCCTTCACCCTGTCAGATACTGCCAGCAAAAAGTTCTCGCCCCAAAAAACTTTAATCCATGCTTATACCCCCCTCCCCAACCAAAGGCTCTGCCCCAGGACCAAGCCCATCCCCATTTCTACCAATCAACCACCTGTAGGTCACCAAACCCAAGCAAGCCCACACGGATGAGTGGCATGTCCCTGCCCAGCTCAGAGCTATACAGGTGTCAGAGGTTTGACAGAGGGATGGTGACATGGGGATAGAACCAACCAAGCAAAAAGCAGAGTCTCATGTACAGGTGTTACACTGCAATTGTGTTTACTCCTTCAGAAACTAAAAACTAAACAACATAGAAAGGCGACGGAAGAACAGAGGCAACAAAACCCTTTGGAGAGATTTTGATGAACCAAACGCAGACCAGTGCAGCCAAATGAGGGGAAGATGAAAGCAGATAAATGCATAAAGAGAGAAAATAAATAATACAAATAAATAATATATTAAACAACCCTCCCCCACCCCATAATGAAAACGTAGCTGGGAGAATGGGATCGACGCTTGTTAACCATTGTTAACTAGTATTTTTAGTCTTGACCGCTCTTAGGCTATGTATAGTTCCTTTTTTTAATGCATTTTCTATACATTAATAAAAGATACCAAACGAGTGAGCTGTGTGCCTCTGGGAAGAAACAACAAAAGGGGAGGAATGAGAGGTGATGGCCTTCTATTGTTCCAGGGAAGGTTCAGGTTGGATATTAGGAAAAACTCATCCAAAGAAGTGGTGATGCAGTGGCACAGGCTGCCCTGGGAGTGGCGGGGTCACCATCCCTGGAGGTGTTGTGAACCACGAACATGTAGCACTGAGGGATGTGGGCATGGTGTGGTGGGTTGGGGTTGGACTTGGGGATCTGAGAGGTCTTCTCCAACCTGAGTGGTTCTACAATTCTGTGACTCGAGGGCTGAAGCCCCATTGCAAGGTACCCTTCCTCCACCAGCACCTTCCTGGCAGAACGTGCTCCTGGTAAAACAAAACACAGCATGGGTTTAGCAAAACCTCCAGGACAAGTGTGAATCTCAGAGAGTATGGGAAGCCTCCCTTCATTCCACATGCAGGCTTTATTTAGATCTCACATCTTAAATTTTCATGTTCACCGTGCAGCCAACCAGAATGAGAAAACCCCAAGCAACTGGCAGAACTTCTGCCAGACTGCTAAATTTAATTCCAGGGAGACAAAAGCAGGGGAATTTGCTTTGCAGTGCTTTCTATGCTCCTGTTTCTTACTCCAATTGGAGAGAAAAAAGGGAACTGCAGAGCACGGGGCACATCTGCAGCCCCACTGCTGTGGGGAGAGGAATAGCAAAGCCTGGAGCTCAGCCATTGGCACCAAACGAATCCTGTGCCAATGAAAAACCTCAGCTCCAATTTGCACCAAGGATCACAAAGTCTTCTGGAGATGTAGGAGGTAGAGGACATCTCAGTCTCCATCGTGGTGCCCATCTGGGCAGCAGTGATCACTGTGGGTAACACCCAGAGGTGTCCCACCACCTGTGCTGCTAAAGCTGACTGTGCTTTGCATCTCAGCAAGCCAACCTGGTGGGTGCCCTGTATGACCCCTAAGTGAGGCCACTGCTCTCCAACACATTTCAGACTGGATAAGGAGGGGGCCAGGCTGCCACAAGCCCTTTTCCAAATTCCCCATACTCCTCCTTCAGGCCAGGGCAGTCCTGAACCCCACCACACCAACCCCATCACCCACCACCGGTGCCCACCCAGCCCATCACCCCACAACCCCTGCACAGCACATTTTTTGCATGGCACATGCACTTATTGCATGCAGTGATGATACTAAGTTCAGCACATTCCAGATGGGGTCACACATGGTAAGATGTCCCATTCCCATTCCCAACCTCTCCAAGAAGCATAATGCCTGGCCTTTGCACAGCAGCCCCTTACCTCCTGGGGCAAAGCTCCAGCCAAGCACTGTGCTGCCCGCCACCCCATCTGCACTTTGTACCCAAATATTTCATCAGAGCCCTCTTACCAAAGTCCCCTTCTTGCATGAGTGATGCTCGGGAACTTTGTCCCACCAGCAAACATCAGGAGGGCACACAAGGGTTCTCGGCCAGTCTGTAAGCATTGACTCCAAGCCTGGCACTTGAGCAA